TTTTCAAATAAAAATGACCAAAAGTTTGGGCATTTGTTTCTTAAAGCTGCTTCAACCGATCTACTAGATGTTTTCATTAATAATGTCTGGCCATAGCTCCATATGAGAAAAATAATATAATTTTGATCAGTCACATGATTTGGCCGCCATCTTGGATATTGTGCAAACAGAAATTGTTCAATTACATTTGTTGTATTGGTCCGATTGGAATAAAATTTTGTACGTGTATTCTACTCTTTAGATACATTCTTTCCCCTGAATGGCATATGGCTAGGTCATGTGGCTACGCACCCATGGGGTGGGGGGGCTTCTAACCTCATTAATATGCATAACTGCTATATCTCAAGCACTGTTGTAGTTAGGAAGATGATTCCTGTGTTATCATGACAACAGTGAATAAGTGATGTGATTAAAATAAAAGATGACCATATATGGTCATGTGAACTCATTAATATGCATAACCATTATATCTTAAACACTGTTGCAGTTAGGAAGATGAATCTTGTGTTATGACAACAGTGAACAAGAGATTTGATTAAAATAACAGATGATCATATATGGTCATGTGAACTCATTAATATACATAGCAGTCATATCTGTAACACTGTTACAGAACGGGATATGTAACTTGTACCATAATGAAGGCATCAAACGAAAGATGTAACTGACATAAGAATTGGCCATATATGATCATGTAACCTCATTATTATCCATAAACACATGGCTCATTATATATTTTGAAAACCATATCTCAATAACCAGACCAGGTGAATACATGGTACCAACTTCATTTCAACCTCATGTTACTGATAATTCAAGCTACCTGATTGTCTAGCATGTGACCTTATTAATTATGAAACATAATCTTGTCAGCTTGGGCCCCGGTGACGCCGCTTGCGGCTTTAATTTCTTCTTTTTTCGTCAAGCCGTTTGAGAAAACCACTGAACAGAATGGTCTGATCATGCTCTATACTGATAGTCCCTAATGTGAACTGGTGCAACATGCTTTCAGAATTTTGATTGGCCAATTAGTTTGGCAGCCATATTGGATTAAAATAAAACCGGAAGTGGCTGTTTGACCACTTTCTGAGGGTCTAGACTTCTAGATTTTTTTATGGTATATAGTACAACTCATGTGTAATAAATATCAGGAATAAAAACTTTAGCGGGCACATATCTTTTCCCGCCATTTTGTTTTTCCTAAAAACGGCAAAAAACACTTAAAAATCTTCTTCTTCAGAACCGCCAAGTAAAATGTACTCGTATTCAGTACTTAACTTCGACATATAGAGCAGATTTAGATTTGAGAAATTCATTATGATTGGTCACGTGGTTTGGCCGCCATTTTGGGTTTCCTCTAAACAGAAAGTAGTTTTTACTCATGCCACACTTGAGGGATTATCTTCAATATTACTGTATGGCATCTCTATATCAATCTCTTTCAGAAACCTAAAAAAGATTTTAGATCAGTCACATGGTTTTGCCGCCATCTTGGATTTTAAGCAAAATAGACCAAAACTTTGGGCATTTGTTTCTCAGAGGTGATTCAACCAATCTACTAGATGTTTTTATATTTACCTTGCCTGGCTTTAGCTCCATATGAGAAAAATAATATTATTTTGATCAGTCACATGGTTTGGCCGCCATCTTGAAGTTTGTGAAAATAGAAATTATGTTACTACATATTTTGTATTAGTCTGATTTCTTTCAAATTTTGTATGTGCATTTGTGTCATCAGATGCATTATTTTGCCCCATTAGCACACTGCTAGGCCACGTGGCTGGGCACCCATGGGGTGGGGGCTTCTAACCTCATTAATATGCATAACTGTTATAACTCAAGCACTGTTGTAGTTAGAATGATGAATCCTGTGATGACAACGTTGAACAAGAGATTTGATTAAAATTACAAATGACCATATATGGTCATGTGAGCTCATTATTATGCATAACTGTCATATCTCAAACACTGTTGCAGTTAGGAAGATGAATCCTTTGTTATTATGACAACATTGAACAAGAGATTTGATTAAAATAACAGATGACCATATATGGTCATGTGAGCTCATTAATATGCATAACTGTCATATCTTAAACACTGTTGCAGTTAGGAAGATGAATCCTGTGTTATTATGACAACATTGAACAAGAGATTTGATTAAAATAACAGATGACCATATATGGTCATGTGAGCTCATTAATATGCATAACTGTCATATCTTAAACACTGCTGCAGTTAGGAAGATGAATCCTGTGTTATTATGACAACATTGAACAGGACATTTGATTAAAATAACAGATGACCATATATGGTCATGTGAGCTCATTAATATGCATAACTGTCATAACTCAAGCACTGTTGCAGTTAGGAAGATGAATCCTGTGTTATTATGACAACGTTGGACAAGAGATTTGATTAAAATAACAGATGACCATATATGGTCATGTGAACTCATTAATATTCATAACCTTTATATCTCAAATAAATATGGAACCAACTGCATTTCGACTTCATGGTACCAATCATTCAAACTAACCAATTGTGTATCATGTGTATCATTTGACCTCATTATTTATGGAATATATGCTTGTGACGCTGCTTATAGCTTTAATTTCACTTTATTTTGTTTCAAGCTGTATTCAGACTGGCTGCTCTATGTAGTAAATATTAATATTAATCACATTATTTTGTTATCACTTGTATGTCAGCTGACTGTGAGTAAGGCCATCAGTGTTGAATGTTTGTCATGAAAAATATGTTAAATCTAGTCCAGTTTTTTTGAGATAACCTACTCATTCATAAGAGACTTCTTTTCAATTATGTTTTTTTTTCAAACCGCTGCCAGTTACCGTACTCACTAGTTGCTTTCAAAGAAAACACTTAGATAGAAAGTAGTGTGTATATCTTTTTACTCGGCTATCCAACTAAATTGAAAGGCTCAGTGTTTAAAATGACTTATGATTTATTTATTTACTTCCAGGGATTGAAGGCAAGCCCTGTGATTCGGGCACCAATTGTATGGGCACAGAAACCAACAACTAGTCAGGATGCTGAAGGTGTCAAAAATCAAGTTTATGAAAGGCAAAAACAGTTTCAGGTATTTTACCCAATGTATGTTCTTAGCTTTATTAAATAACTGGAAATCATTTTAAAGAACGATGGACATTAAAACGCCAATTATCTTAATTAATTGTGCAATATCATATTTGTCAATGTGTATCTTTGTATCACTAAAACAGATTACCTTAATAATAACATCTATCTGTGTGATGACATTTGAATAGTCAGTTCACTAGTTTAGAGCATATGCATATATGATGGTGGAAAATGTGTTAATTATGTTTATTTTTATATTTCAGAGAAATAAGGAGATTCCTGTTCATCTGAGAGGTGGAAATGTTGATGTTATATTATATAGAATTACCTTGATAGGCTGTGTGTTTGGAACTTTTTGGACAATCTATGAACTTGCCAAAGCATCATTTCCCAAATCAAATGATTAAAGAACTAAAACCTGTTGTAGAATGCTGCAAGCTTTCCACATGTTATTCCTTACAGCTGAGACCGCTACTTGAACTGTTCATATGTTTGCTATTGACAAGAAGTCTTATATGAAAATGTCTTATATGAAAATTTAATAAATACAATTTGATTTGAGTTTGTATTTTGTTGCATTTAGTCAAATGTGAGACTTGTTTTAAATTCACTGGATATTATGCATATTATGCTTCTTAGCCAAAAATTAAAATTGATTACTAAATATATGCCATACAGCGAAAATCGACCCAGCTCGACAGTTTGACACGAGGCGTGCTCAACTTCTTGTTTATTTTGTTGCTTTACTGAATCAATGAATGGAATCATATCAAAGGTGGTGCCGATAAGATTGTAGCACCAAGTATCTGTTGTAAAACCTGTAGCACATGTTTATCAACACCGGGCAGTGACTGTAATGAACACATCCAATTATACAAAACAAAACACGTTTTATTCGACCTGAGCATGGTCAGTATACATCTTAGCAGTTTCGCAACAAATGAACTATGGAGAAAAACATTGAAGCAAATACTGTTTGTGAAATGATAAAGTAGTGTTAAACAACCATACATGTAGTCAGTAACGTACAGTGTCTAGCGTAAAACTAATACAATTATTCTATGGGAGGGCGAGACGTTGGCGATGGTAGACCCTGCCATGGATACGGCTGTTGGTTTCTGTGGTGGTATGGACGTTGCTTTGCAAGCTGTGGAGTAATCCTCCATGGATTGCAGTATGGCTGCGATACATGGGCATAAGGTGAATACATTCAATAATATGGATTGTAAGACTGAATGTTACTCCATGTCTGGTTAGCAGGAAGTCCCGAGTATGGAGTATACTAGTGACTTGGTGTACCGATGGGCGTCTGGTTATGAGTTGCATTCACTGGTGCAGATGTGACCGCTGTTAGTTAGAAGTTAACACCTATGTGCTCTAGGTGCATTGCGCGTGACAATTTAGAGTTTTCCATTTTTCGTGCTGTTCGTGAGATAAAAGCAGCACACTGTCTACAGTTTTTCAGAGATGTCGAATATCTAGACTTGCAGTGAAACAAAAACTATACATGTTATTCATGTATATATGGTACGTAAATGGACCTTGTGACGGTGATTGAGTGTAGAAAATAATAATATACATTTGTTATCACTATACTAAAGGATTAAAATATGAAAAAATATATTAGTGTCTAATTATTACAACTGACAAGAATCAAGTGACAGGTGTGTTATTCTATGAATAAAAACGTGTGTAGCTGAAAATTTATGGGTGGGTCTCGCGGGGAGTAGGGCTTTGTCGCAGTAACTGGTCCATTCATCGTTGTTGAGAATTAAAGTTTTATGTTTCTTCACCAACTTGCACTATTCTGGGAATACCATAATTAGAAGCTATTAATTTGCCCTTATGATTTGTGCAGTTGCTCTGGCAGGAGTTCCGAAATAAGACCCATCCTCTGATAATGCCCATAGTTTCAAAATCCAAGAAACATTATCATTATGATCTTATTGGTGTTGCAAAGGATAGTTGAATATTGTTTATTAAAATTAATAATCCCCATACCCTTTTTCAAATGTAGATAAATTATAGTACGCAAGAAATATATAACTCAGTGTCAACAATGAAATAAAGAAATGTATATATATATATTTACATTATTACTAATGCATTGCAATACAACTAAAGAAATTGAAAGAAATTGCAATATAAAATATTCCGTCAGTAACACTTCGCAAGGGCGTATTTCAAGGTCAGTATTATTTACGAAAATATTTGTTTATAATTTTAAGAATTGGCTTGGCAATTTCCATCGCAATTAGATATAATGTGTACATATTTTAATAATAATGAAGATGGAGGTGGGGCTGTCTGTCTGTCTGTCTGTGTGTCTGTGTGTCTGTGTGTGTGTGTGTGTGGGGGGGGGGGGTGTGTCTGTGTGCGTTGGTAAACCATGAAATGTGGAGCCATTGGCCTGTTTACACACCAACGATGTGAAGCCCCTCCTGAAAGTGGAGCCTTGCACTCGAGCTCCACATTGCTGTTTAAAACAAAGTGTAGACGTAGAAGTAGAGCCAGTAGACCAGACATGCACAAACAAAGTGGAGCCCTTTGTACAAGTGGAGCCCGAAATTGGTGGCTCCACAATGTTTCATAATTTATATTAATATTTAATCGAATTTAAGTCAGGTTTGC